GTCCGGAAGGCATCGGCGTGAACGACAGCATTTCTGCCGAGCCGCTCTCTCTGCTCTGTGTGAGCATTGACAACGCGATCAACATCATCATGTCATGCCCACAGCCGGTTTATTTGTCCAAGCTCGATGTACGCAGTGCATTTCGGCAGATCATAGTCCGCCGTCAGGACCTTTCTGGGAAGGCTCCAACTAATATGAGCGCTTTCTGCCTTTCGGTCTTTGCTCCAGCCCAGCCTTCTTTGACTCAGTAACCACAGCAGTCAACTGGATCATGCAGCACGAGTTTGCTATAGATCACCACCTTCATTACCTCGAGGAATTTCTTGTTATCTCCACTGGTTTGGTTGCAGCCAACCAGTAACTGACCATCCCCCTCCGGGCATTCACGTATCTCGGCATTCCTCCTTGCTACATACAAGCTTGAAGGGCCATCACCATCATTGACCTCCCTAGACTGCGAGCGCCATGAAGCTCGGCTACCAGAGGACAAGCTGTTCGAGATCCTTGCGCCACTCGTAGGTACTATCAGCGAGCGCAGCATCGGCCAGCGTCAACTCGAGTCCCTCCTGGGGAAGCTCACTTTTGATGTCCGAGTCATCGTTCCTGGGCGCACATTCATGCTTCACCTATGATCAGTGTGCCCTGAACTGTATCTGTGTATGTGAGTGTGGTGCCTAAAGCCCATCTTGAGAATGGGTTTGCCGGCCCCTTAGTAGATGCGTGCCTTCTGAAGAGGGTGATGAAGGGCATCCAGCGATGCCATGGTACGGCTGTACTCACCCCTCGCCTACCTATCACTATGCCAATCCTACGACACTTGATGGATGCACGCCGGAAAAGTAGCATCCTGAATGGCCATGACAAGCTGCTCTACCAAGCCGCCATACTGCTAGCATTCTTTGGATTTCTTCTGTGTGCCGAATTCACTGATGGCATCACACGGGGCTGCACTAGCTCCCCGGGTGACGGACGCCTGCAACTCTTCCTGCTTTCATCCAAGACAGACGCATTCGGTATAGACGTTACTAGTGACATTGACCCGTCTTTACCGCCGTACCGCCCAGTCCGTGCCATGGTTAGCTACTCATTTGTCACTCGTCGCGAGAGACCGTTGCAACTCTTGTTCGTACTCTCGAACGGACAGCAGCTGACCAGGCAGTCATTAACAGTACGGTCTTTTGTCGTTGCGGCCGGTGTACTTTGAGCTAACAGCAGCTCTACTTTGAGCTAATCGCAGCTTTACTTTGAGCTAACAGCAGCAGCTTTACTTTGAGCTAATCGCAGCTCTACTTTGAGCTTCAAACGAGTTGCTTTGAAGCCAGCACTCTGCAATCCAAAGATGACTCTTTCTTGACTTGTTTGTGTGAGGGATGGGGCTAACCAGCAACACGCAGAACCATAAACCATCCAGAATTTCGTGAAGAGCTTGCCAATGCCAACCTGGGCGTGCTCCAATCGACTTCCTCCACTGATGAGATGTCGAGCACTTCGCACGCTAAACTCATGAGTGTTCTTGACAGATGTGGCCCTCTAAAATCCACCAGCAGGAAGGCGAGCTCATATCCACCTTGGTCTGACAGGAAATTGTACCAAGTCCAGAGTTGCCAGAACAGGCTACATCGCCAGTTGCGTCAGTACAGCACCTAGCTCTGCTTTGCATTCAGGCGCGCCTGTGCGGCTGCACGAAACGTATTGAGCCAACATGTGATGTGGAGTATGTTGCAACAGCCTTCAGTAAAGTTGTGACTGATGCTGATAGACCCCCTGTGCTCACCATGCCACAGGGTCAATCACGCCCCACAGCCTTTTCAACCTTTCGGTATGTCTGAACCAAAACTGTTTAGCGTCTCCTAAGAGGCATCAATGCAGCCAAGGCCACAGGCAGTGACAGCATCCCAGGAGTACTTCTGAAGTACTGTGCTGATATCATTGCTCCGTCTGTTGCTGCTCTCTTCAATGCCTCACTATCCTGTGGTACAGTACCCTCTGCCTTCAAGCTTGCACACATATCACCACTATATAAAGCTGGTGACCCAGCAATTCCTACTCACTTCCGTTTCATTTCCCTCCTCCCAAACCTGTATTAGAGAAGCTGGTGCAGAAGGAACTGGTATCAGTCATGAACATCACAAAGTCACTACCCTCCACTTAGTTTGCAGTTTGCAGCAACCATTCCACTGAGGATGCACTAGCTCTCATCACCAACCGTATCCTTACTGCCCGGGACAAACGAATGTACACAGGTGTGCGCTTACTCGACATGTCCAAAGCAATATTTTGATAAAGTTAGACATCACCAACTAATTCTCTACCTTTTTCAATATTGGCGTCACAGCCACAGCCCTGCGGTGGTTCATGTCTTATCTCTCCAAAGGGACCCAGCGTGTCTGTGTCGGACCATCACGCAGCACTATCACTCGCTGCACATGCGGAGCGCCACAGGGATTTATGCTCGGCCCCCATTCTGTTCAAACTATTTACTCGAGAAATACCCTATGTT